CAACACCAGAGAATCAAGTAGTGTCACGAATTGACATTCTATTGAAGAGTTTTACTTCTCAGGCACATGTCACTCCCATAAGACATTGCTCGATTACGATCAAAGGTCCGAAGAGCAGAGTATAATCACACACACAACCTGAAAATTGTCCAACTAAAGCCTGTAGGAATCGCACCCGACCCTGCACTCTGTATTCAGTGGGGGAAAATTTTCCAATAATTACTCATTAAGCCGGCTGCACTGAGCTTCCAATTTACAGATTTGCTTAAATCCTGAACTAGCCATACGCTACTCAGAAAATCTTAATTAGACTCTCTTCTTCAGATGCGGTATCTTCAACAAACTGAAGCAACTCGCACACAGTGACAAGACACTCAATTTCACAAATGTGCAGAAGAATTCAGACTGAAAGCTGAGAAACTAACTAATGGAAAAGCCCCACCAAAGGCAGAGCCTTGGGCCTCTTTATTCCTAACTAACATTCCGAGATGTCACTCGTTGTGATGCGAGTTCCCAACAAGCGCAACGCCCTACGACCCGGCAGTTACCACGCCCGTTGAGCTCCTTTCTACTCTTATCCTACTCAAAACGGCTGACGGTTTCAATTCCAACTCTACTCTAAACTGGAGATGAACAAATTGAGCTTCATATCTAACTGCTGATGCCCTATTACTCCGTTGGCTCTCAATTCCTTCACTGGACGCTGCGGCTCCACCACGCGCTTGAATTCTCTCAAATCCCTTCAAGTCCGAAGTCTCTTCTCCAAAATCTGAAGGTTCACACAAACTCAAACTTAAAGCTTCAAATTAATAACTTCTTCAAACAAACTTCGTTGAAGCTGCAATTTTGCAGGTATGTACGTCCGTCTAAAACCAACAACCCCATCAATTTTCAGATCTAGTTGACACTCCAACGCGAAGATATGGCTTCCTCAAGATCCATGCTCCAAGGCCAAAAACCGAAAACCGAAGGCATTAAGGTCGAAGTGGTTAAGGCCGAAGTCCAAAGACCCTTCGGTCAAAGGCTCTTCTACGACTTTGCCTATCCATACCAACCACATTCAACACTCATAACTCAGTGATCCTTTATTCGTTTTAGGATTTCTTGGGCTCGTTACAACTACCGTGCCGAGCTCTATCTATCAAGATCTTATACAAGTCAATTCGTTTCTAATTGAAAAAGGTATGAGATATTTACTCTATCAAATCATAATTCATCTAATTCAACTTTACTTCCTATAAGTAAAAACACTAACTTGAAAGAGAGTAAACTAAATGAATTCCACTACTACTAACTGGACCTCTACCACAAAATCCACTATTAACTTTACTTTTTAGTATTCTTTTTCTAAAAGTTTGAAACTATTAATATTCTACCTCTCAAACTTCTCGTTTGAAAAAAAGAAAAAAAAACTATGTTATCACATGGAGCAGAGCATGGTTAGATGGACGGCTTCTAGGAATTGATTAAGATTTAGGATTAGGGTACTAGGCTTTAGGTTAAGGAACGACAGTTAGGAGCCGACGCCGTTCTCGACGTGTGATTTTGGAGTAAAGGAGTGCGGCGGGGGAAGGCAACGTCAAGGGGTCGACATCATGCTCTAGAGGTGGTTCAGTGGGAAGCTGAGCAGCGGGGGACGGCGCCGTTTCTGCAGAGTTGATTGACTGCAGAAGGAGTACTGTGGTGGCGTCGAGGGCTGACTATGTTCTGAAGGAGTGGTTGGCGAGAAATCAGCGTGGACGGCGGTCGCGTCGAGGGGCGGTTAGTGCGTAGTCTGGTGACGAGTGGTAGAGAGTGGTGGGGAGGGTGACTTTTGAGCTCTCAGGTACCTTCTCTCCTCTGTTGTCTTGTCATGTTTTGCATGTTGCGTCTTGCGTCACTACGACTTAGTCACTGTCAGCCAATGTGGTCTCCTATTCTTGTGGATGAATCGACTCGTTATCAATAACCTGTATTGAGTAGAAAAGTTGTGTAAAGTATTTCCGCGGGGCTTTAGAGAGATCATCTGCTCTGTTGAGGGCATATATTGTTGAGGTTGGCAATTTTCTAGTGTAATACCCGACTAGGTTAGCTTCCATTAAACTATGCACAAGCTGTGGATAAATACCAATAAGATGCTTAAGTTACTCAATGTTGTTAGCATGTCTGGAAACTTTGCGCTTGCTTTCAGCCGTAAATTTGCTTCAAGGGGACCTCGCAGAGATGTCTAGTGAACCGATGTAAATCTGTTCTTCTTGTGTTGTAGAGATATCTAGTGAAGCGATGGAGATCTCTTCTTCTGGTGTCGTGTCCCAGGTAAGTCACCACTTGTATACAACCCAATACATCTCTTGCATTTGTCAAGTAGAAAATACTAAAACATGCATCAAAGAGAATGTATGCAAATTTTCGTTCTTCTAAGTTCCGAATATCCATAGTAAAAATAGCTAATAATCATGTTAGTTTCTTTCCCTGTTCTCTTGTTGTTTTCATAGATTTAATGTTTGCATTAGTTACTGTGATGATATTGTTCCTTTAACATGTTCCACTTTGTTTCCATTTTTCTTCCTAGTTTACTTTCTTTTTTTACTTTTGATTTTTGCATCTTATTTCGCGCTCCGAGTGAGGAATTTGATAGGTGGGAGGGGAATGCAATTACGAGAGTTCTACTGGATTCTCTTCCACCTAATATGAGGCCTATAGCCTGGGCTATACTCTCCTATCCAATAGACTAGGTTTATCTTTCATAAAGCCTTCTCATGTCTGTAAGTGCTTACGCACCTTCAGACCCATAGGCACGTATTGCGCGGGGAGCACCCCGCGTAAAGCGTCAGGTTTTCAGGGGGGCGAATTCGAAAAGATGGACAGAGCATGTACTTTAGGAGGAATACACTATTCCACAAGGCTAAAAGAGACCTAAGAAATCTAGCCTGCAGCCTCCGATCAATCCGTGAAAACAAAGTGGCGAAAGGGCGAGTATTATGTGGGAATCTGAAAAACAGTTTGGGCTAAAAAGCGCTTTTTGATAAGCCTACATTATTTTCGTGAAGCGTATTTGATAAAAACAATTGATAACGCAAGCAAATACTCCTATTAAGGCTAGTAAGTAACCCCACAGCCTAAAGTGGAAAAAACCAATAGAATTGCTACAAATTCCATCTAAAAGGGGTATTTCTGTGTGTGAAGAAACTCAAAAGAAATAAAAATACAAATAATTGTATGTAAAGATTATAGAAGAAATGCATAACTAAAAAAGATTTTACTATCAATAAAAGAGACTTTCCAATCCACGTTTCTTCTTCGCTCAGCGAGAGTTATAGGTATGCCCCGCCGATGAGAGTTGATAGTCCAAATCACAACAAAACCCGGGGAGAGCGAAAGACGCAAATTGCTAACGTTCGCACAAAAAAACAAGAATGGGCATCAGAAAAAAAACTGAGAGCTGCCAGAGACTTAATAAAGATATCAAGCTCACGGGGTTAGACGGGAACTCATGACCTCTTCGCGCCGCGGTAAACAAAAGCCCCAATTATAAACATAAGCTATATTTAAGATCTGCTTTAAGGACAGGGAAGGCACCGAGTGAGATGCCGGGTGTCTCATAATTCTTTAACTTAATCATTAATAATCAATTGCTTTCTTAATCAACTACAAAAAGTAGACAATTTACGATAATTTTCTATTAATATAATTTAATACTTGGTGTTCTTATATGTCAACGACAAGGACTATAGGTTCAATTACTGACTACAAAAATACCATAGTACTATGCCCCGTCGGTACGATACTCAGTAAAAGGTAGCGCAGTAAAGCTACCCGCACCAGTATGGTCTTACATTTTAGTGGCTCATTTGAATAAACGAGAATGTGTATAGAACACATCTCCTGGAAAAAGCCTGGAGTGAAATGATTCGAACCTTTGTTTGTAAGCATCACAGTCTTTTCTTCTCTTTCTTTCTTTGTGATTTTTTTTCCCTGTCAAAAAAAGGAGAGAAAAAAATGAAAATTTGTTGGGAAAAGATTTATTTTTATTTCCCTTCCGCTATGGCATTTTGGATTTTTTTTAATGATGTGGCTACGGTCCACTGATCTATTTTGACGTTATATCTGGATGAGATTTTTACCGTTGTCGAGGGGCCTTTGATGATTCTTTTAAAAAAGTTTGTTGGATTTTGAAAGGAGGGTCGACGAGACCCTTCCCCAGGGAGAGGGCTCCTGTCAGTTATTTTGTTTTTTAAAGCATCCGTATTTGTTTTCCTTTTTTTTGTCTGACAGTACGATGATATGTTATGTAGATCTAACGTTGTACACCTTTGGTCTCAAGAGGATCAATTGAAGCTTTTTCCTTTTTTTTCCTTGTGTTAACTCACTCGGGTTTATCTAAACTTGATAATTAATTGTTCCTGTTTGCAGCCATTGACTGAAGCTGCAGCAACTGGACCTGTTTGGACTGCAGAAGAATGGGCAGAGAAAATGAGACTGGAAGGATTGCCTGTGACGATCACGTGAGAACATGGTGGGTTTAATGTCAAGGTGTGCGGCTCGTGGGACAACTGGAGTACCAGGTCACCAAATTCGACCCACATCGCTCACGCTGTCTTCGAATGCCAACCAATATACATATTTTATGTCAGACATATATGATGTATTTTAAATCTAGACCTTTCATTTGTGACTCGCTGAAATATTCTAGCCCACATTCTTCAAATCAATACAATACGAACTATACGGTTTGATACAGAATTGCGATTGCGATTTGTCTCTCATCCTCACTAGGTGGGTCCCCTACGCCCACCTAATACAACAAGCTTGAATAGAAGTGGCTTACATGGAGCAAATGAATAGATAACTTGATTGATATGAATTTTCTGTCGACGGTTTGCAGGCACTAAGAATTATTAATTTCAATGTGAATGAACTATGCTTGCAATTGACCTGACGCACGAAGTTCCTTTCGGCAAACAAATGCTGCCGTTGCTTACCTTGACTGATTGATCTCGTTTATATTACTTCGTTGGCAGGAAGACTATGCTTCACGACGTACACGGCTGCTATCTCCTCCTCATCTTACCTCCGGGGAAATATGAATATCATATCATACTGGATGGAGATTGCAGCTATCTGGACGATGTGTATTTCGATGTTCACCGTGAACTGGAGGTTGTCCAACGTGGAGAGGTAAAACACGCTTTCAATTACAGTTGAAGTTTTGTTATATGAGCACAAGTCGCTGGATATCAAAGCATTGAAAGGTGGTGTTCTATGAAAGTTTGTCGAATCAAATCAGATGATACGATTTAAAATATGTACTGTTCAGGAATGCTTCTCTTTTGACCGGGTGAAAGGCTTTGAATGACAGGTTGAAGTCTTTTTTTTCATAAACTTTTATAATCCCCAGAATAGGCATAGGAAGCCAAAAGGATGGCAAATCGATTTAGTGGTCCAGCAACTCATTCTGGTAAAACGCTAGTGCCTCATGTCTCCAGTGCTTGCCTGAGGCAGAAATTACCTCGTGGATCTAGAACGATGACTGTGCAAAGGTAGAAGATTGGTAGAGTCGTTCAGTGAGTAGGTTGATCGAACGACCAATAATTCCTTCTGCCAATTGGTCAGTGAATCGCTTGCTGCAGTCGGGGGAATCTTACTTGAAGCTGACTGCCACTGCTGCAGCAGTTGCACGGCCGGGCAGTCTTCGGGTTCGCGGTTTTGACAGCCAGCTCGTGTCTTCTACGATCTTGTGAGGGCACATGATTGTCTGCTGCTTGCAATTGCTCTTGCATTGCTTTTGGCTGCCCCATATAGATTGCCAGCCATCCTGCTTGCCTGACTGCAGCAGGCTGGAATGCAAGGGTTTTCTAGTGAAAATCTTCCAAAGAGATACAGCTTAAACGAAGAAGTAGTGAATGCTATTCTTGCTAACTACTGACTGCACCGAGGCATGACTCGGGTTCAAGCTTTGGTTGGGATTGCTTTCCAAGTTCTCAGTTGGACCCGGAATATCGCTGTGAGTCACTCTCCACGAGTGGGGAAAGTCATGAGCTTTCAGTAAAGCTCCTCTATCATTCACTTGGACCAGTGAACTGTAGTCATCTATGGCCGTGTGTGAGCCTGGCGCATCCTTTCGAACGAGTACTGTGGGCTTTAGAAATTAACTCGGCGCAGCATATCTCTTCTACAGATACAACACGGACTTCTGCTCATGCTTAATACATCTCTCTCTCTCTCTCTCTCTCTCTCTCTCTCTCTCTCTCTCTCTCTCTCTCTCTCTCTCTCTTGCCCCGGATATGGCCTCCAGCAATCAAAAGCAGTCCTTCAATCGATGGAGGACTATCTCTTAGCGATTCCAGCAACGGGGACTTAATGAAGTCAGTATACTCACTTTGTCCAGTGCGTTTGTAGTTTTTGATGTTGCTAATTCCTAGTTCCAAATTGCATGCACAATCTGGACACTGTTGAAATTTGACGTCTAATTGTTTTCAACAGAGACGATTTCAAGAGGATTTTCCGATGCCACTCGCCATTGTAGGTGAGGGGCCAGAATCACCGAAAGCCAGCTACACAAGCGAGATTTTTGCAGAGCAGGATTTGGAGGAGGAACCTCCGGTGCTAACTCCACATTTGTCCACCACAGTCTTCAGCTCAGCGCATATGGAAGGGGAACCGAGTCGAGTTGCTGCACCTCAACACATGATTGAACCAGCGTCAATCATGTCTACATTGACATCGCAGCGGGGATGTGTGGATGCCGAGGCATTACTGAGTTGTTACGAGATAAGTATGTGTCCACTTTCCTATACAAGCCCAAGCTTTGAGGGGCAAGTCATAATGTGCAGCGTCCCTTAGACTTCAGTCCTCTGCAGGAGGTTTCTCCAACACTTTTTGGCATAGATATTCTCATGAACACTGATGCATATGAGATGTCTATTAACAGCGTGTCTGCTCGAACATTCTGACCTGGAGCCCAGGAAAAGACTGTTTACTAGAGCATACACGCAAAACAACATCCACTTAATGCTTTGGTTTATCTTTAAATTTACCTCTACCGCTTCTGGGACTTATAGATGGACATCGATGTCGAGCCTGTTCTACTTCAACCAACCTGAATGAACTAATAGAAAATGAAGGTCCTAATGCATGCAAGCGAGTCGTACACCCAGTTTAGATATGGAAGAAAATTTGGACAGCAATGCTGTAGATGCATGAGTGCAGAGTCCGCCTGCTATAGAGTGGAAGGGACATGAGATGACATAGATTATTTAGTAGATTAATCAAAATTTGTTCAATTCCGCCAGTTATAGGCTGACTTTCTTTATATGAAATAACTAGATATTTGAAAAATATTATTTATGTAAGAAATTGAATTTCTTTTGAAAATACTGATTCCAATTAAATAAAGAAATATGAATATATTAGACATATAACTATTTTGATGATACTAGATAATAAAATATAAGAATTTAGTTTTGAGTTTTTTCTTATCATGCAAGATAAGCATATTTCTCATATTCTTGTTTTCTCTTCGCTTGACTCGTAAACAGAGATACAGCTACATGAACTTAAATTATTTTTCATGAAAAAAGTATCTGATGATACTTTGGTGATACATATTTGATGATTCTCATATCTTTTCTGATATATTGTTGATAATTTTCATAACAAGCACTCTTGTAAAGTTGACCATATCTTTTAAAAATATTTTGCCAATTAATATCACAATATGCTACTCTTTTATGAATAAGAACATATTCTTTCTTTCCGTATGTATCTATTATAAAAGAAGATTCCATATTTTTATTTCAGAAACTATACTTAACACAGAATTTAAAATCGTAATAAAATAGATTCAATACAATATTTTATTATTATTTAAAAATTTTAAAGTTTTTCAAATTGCAAAAAATATCAGTAAAAACCTATTGAAAGATTGGTATAATTGGAAGATGTGGTTCCGAATTGAAGAATTATACACAAAGGCCTATTAAGACATCATGGCTGACTCGGTTAGCCATCAGGTGAACTTGTAATCGTAATAATTCTGACAATGATGTTGCTATTGAAACTGTATTATGGCCGAGTTCCCTGCATTTGACACGTGGGGAGAATTACAAGTTACTTGAAGAAAAAGGCAGAGATGGTTAAGGGCTTTAAAGGGCTGACTTTGTGACAACTTTGTAGTAACCTTTCTCTGTGTGACACATCAGTTGAGAAGACATAAAAATGTTAGTGCTATAAACGAATGAAGGGCTTACTTTGTCAAAGAGATTCCCGTCTTCTAAAACCGGCATCAGTTCTTTCCGATAATAAACAGGAGCATCGGTCTCTGCAAACATAGTTCTACGTAACTGGTTGGTATTTCTCCTTCTGACATGCGTCACTCTTGTAGAAGAACGTATGAGATCTGGGATGGCGGCGACGTTGGAACCCCATAACAATTTGTGGCCTCTCAAATTCAGTCCAGTTTCTCAAATCGCCCTAGTTTTGATTGAAATCTTCGCCAATAACAATGATACTTACGTGAATTTGAAAGTACTGACTGTCAAATATTTGCAGGGTCAACCGACCAATATGAAAGCCGGTGATAATTGGCGTTAGAAGTGGGAACGGATTGTGTACGTCTGCTCTCTATCACTCATTCGAATATACGCTTCCGCATAACAAACACTGCACTAATGAGAGTGTTGCGTAGAGAGATCCAGCAAAGTATGGGAAAGCATGAGCAGAGATTTCAGAGGAATAAGCGTTTCTTATTTGTATTATGCGCTGCAGAGGGTTCTCAATCATATCTTTGTCATCTGGGTCCAACGACCTTGAAAGGATAGGAAATCAATCTTTCCATTATATTTGTAAGAACATCTTCGCAAGATTTCCAGTCAACAGACTGAAAGTATATGCAAATAAGTTGAAACTATTTGAAATCAATGGTTCGAAACGCTCGCTTGCTTAAAATATAAGCGGCCTCATCTCGAGGGAAGAAGCTTAATATGTGGTCTAGATTTATCGGACCATATATGCAGACTGAATGCGTTGCAGATGATTTTTCTGCTCAATCGCTGTCGGAAATCTCATTTGCATCCTGTACGATCCAGAGGATGGGACTCGGTGTGGAGCACATGTAAACTTCAGCTCAATTACCCACAGTGACTCATGTAAATTCTACGCCATGGAACTTCACTGCTTGACAGGAAGACCTCAACAGATAATGTAAATTCTTCCGGATTCCATCTCATGTATTGATCTCCCAATCCTGTCACCAACATCCACTCGTTCATCTGTGCCCGTTTACTTGGCTGGCTGCTATAAACAGGTGCTTTAATTTTCAGGCTCCGTGAGGTGTAAGCTTCCTCGATGTGTGAGTCTATAACAAGGTCACCGGGTTCGTCCCACTTTTGTTCAGCTCCGAGTGGACGTGAGTGCACGGCTACGGCTGTGATAGGAACTCTGAATCTCCTCGTTTCCTCGAGTCATGCTGGTCTTCGACAGGTCCACTCAGGTTGAAGTTAGGAGCCTGAAATACATTGATTTCAGGCCTGCCATACGGCCGGAGATAATGCATCCAGTAACTGGACGACAAAACTCAGAAGTAGCTTGCTTGTGTTCTAAAAGTGCGACTACGCATGCTCTTCACGTGTGCTGTACTCAGAATTTTCTTGAGAAGATGGCGGAGGTCATCAACTTCTCAAATTCCCGAAAGTCAATCAAGTTGTCGCCGTCGGAGTCCACGCATTGGAGCATCACATAACACTCGGCGATGGTGACCTTCTTCTTACCCAGTCGTTTCATCAACTTCTGCAGATCAGAAGCTGAAATATGGCCGTCGCGGTCTGCATCCGCTACGCTGAATGCTACTCTTAGCTCCGTAGCTCGTTGTTCGACATCGTCGGATCCCAGACCGAATCTGCTTTTGAGAATTATGAACTCTCCCAAATCTATTTCTCCGTCCCCGTTCACATCGACCTCCTGAACCATAAGGCGAAGCTCCTGGTTAGTCACTTTCTCCCCGAGGGTGGCCCACATGGCTCTCAACTCCTGATGCGAAATCTTCCCATCCCCGTTCTTGTCGATGATTTTGAAGGCCTCGATGAGCTGCTGATGCTCCGCGTCGAAGAGTTTATCTACGACATGGGATTTTCGCTCGATTCGTTGAGCAGGGGTCTTTCTTGCTTGATGTGCAGCAGCACGAAGAGACCAATTGGCCCTCGGAGTGCCTATATGTCTCTTCGCAGTGCCGGACTGTGGATCGGATGTCAAGAACCCAGCATACGGGTTGAGGTCCCTGGGAGCATCTGAAGCCTTCACCTTCTTTCCGAAAAGACTGAGCAGCTTCATGGTGCCTCGACTTCTTGCTCAACTTCTTACAAGCAATGGATTCTCCGAGCGCTGTTCCGGAACCAGATAAAGATAACTTGATGCACTTGCGAGCTGTGTCGGAAGGAGAGAAGTGTGGCTCTTGTCTGTAGGAATGCCTGGTCATGTGATTGTTGCTCCTGTTTATATAGACGCAGCTGAGCAAGCCGGACATGGATGCGCCCGGGCGACAATGATAAAGCATGTCAGATTGCCTGGGCAGTAGCGTGGAGGGAGACGGTTGACGGCATCGTGGACCTCCCTCATACGGGGAGAAGGAGTCCGAGCTTGGTCAAAGTACGTTTGAGTAGACTAGCCGCAGTGTGTCTAGGCCGCTTCTCACGCGTTTGACTTTGACCTGGATGCAAGAGCCGGGATCGGTGAGGAGCCGTTGTGACACTTTCCAAACTGGGACGTGACAGTTGCTGTCGTTTCCCGTTTGGGTCTCATCACTGGCATTGGTCCCGAGGGAGACTCAGATAGTTTGCATGTTATAGAGATCAGCGTTATTTTTGGCTAAGAAGTAAGTATGTGTAGGGAGAAAATGTTTTTCAGTTAACCCCGTAGACTTATCGATGTGATATGATGTAGAATATAGTAGTCTAATCTTCCCTTCCATTTAATTTCATTTTTTGAGTGAATAATCTTCTGATAAAAATTCCAGCATATTTATAAATATAGTATTGAGAAAATTCATAATCAATCTTGCTTATATTTTATGTACATAGATCTTACATGAAACATTTTTTCATAGATATATCTGAATGTATCTTTTACTTAGAATAGAAGATAAATTCCTATAACTTTGAAAATTTAGAATATAACTTCAAAATAGGAATTTTTAAAAAAAATTACCAACGATCTTAAGTCAAATTTATTCTTCCTATCCAGACCTCATAAATGAAAAAAAATGAAGGTTAGATATGTCGAAGTGATATCTCGAAAACATAAAGTGATAAGAAGTATAATGTAAAATTTTTCAATAATTGATTTAAATTTAGTCAATAATAATTTTCTATCCAAATTATTCTCTCTTTGAAATTGATGTGATATCAATAATTTTTTTTCTTGAAAATAATTGAAGATTAGAGATAGAAAAGAAAATATTATTTTAAAAATAAGATTTTGATGCAAAATTGTAGAATTTAAGTAATTTAATATTAAAAAATGATATACTAATATATCGAATTTTTTCATAATCTTTTATAAAGATGGAAAAAATTTCATAAAAAAAATTATTTTATGAAACTGTAAAAACTGTCTTTTAAACTCACAAACTTCTAAGTTTAAGCATAAATACAAGTCATAACTCAATTTTGGGCCAAATTTAATAAAAAAGAAAAACTTTGCAAAAAAAAAACATGGATTATTAATAGAAAGTTTTACATCCAGAGTAATTCCTATATATGCAAGATATTCATTCGCAACAACAGAAATCTGCAGTAATTTTGAATTAAATCTCTATTCGAAATTTGACGTTTATCAAAATTTTCATATACATCAAAATGTCGATGATCTAAGGGTTTAGATTAACGCTTCAACCCGAAACTGTTATCGAAATCCTTCCACGGAGGAAAATTCAGTTCACCCTTTAAAGCGAGAAACAGTCGAACGCAGTTAGATTTTTTGTAAACGATGTAACTGCGCTCGCCCCTCACAGTGTTCGGTGAACCATCACTGCGTACATGGTACACAGAGAGCAGGAATGGAAGCCGGTAACTGTGGCAAAGTTGGGGATGCGCGACGGCCATTTTGGATTTAGGTGATGCTTAGGGTTTGGGCGACATATAGTGCTGCACGCAACTACGTTATATGGTGCCTTGCTCGGATGGGGCTGACGTGCGGTTCCAGGTCGCAGATAGCCGGTGTAGGGTGTGCGGGGCGCGAAAAGTGCCGACAAGGGTTGGCGCCAGCTGTTGAAGCGAGTGAGAATCTAGTGTAAGC